GGCGTTTGAAAATGACCGAAAACATATTTCGAATTTGTGCATTAAAACCAAGCTGACTTTTTTGGCCCAGTAAATGTAATTTTATGTTGTTACACAAATGTACCTGTTAAAGCGGTGAGGTCTGCACCCTGCTCCAGTAAAAATAATGATGTATTACTATCTTCATTCCTAATTGATTGATGTAAATGTGACAAGTTGTCTTTATTCTTTCCGTTAACATCTGAGCCACCTCGGATAAGAATAGGCACTAGATTAGTTCTCTTAAGGGCTAAGCATAGGCTCAGGGGAGTGTCACCATTAATATCTTGGCAGTTAAAATCAATATTTTTGTTTCTTAACTCAACAAAAGCTTCTAAGGCATCAATGGCATTAGATTCCACTGCAATGTGCAATGCTGATTTTAAACCGCAATCAACGTGTTTTAAATTGGCGGAAGCACCATTAACAATCAACTTTTTTACTAGGCTTGGCATGTTGTTCAAAGCTGCGATGTGTAATGCTGTTAACCCACGTAAATTAAAATGGTCCAAATCGGCAAAATCAGCCAGGAAAATTGCTGATTTTTCTGCACGGTGTCCATCCAACGCAAGCACTTGTAGTAGGCTATCTCCGGTTTTTGACTTTGTAGGATTTGTCTGTGCTCCCATCCTAAGAAGTATTGAAGCTATCAAGAATTCGTTGTCTCCCATTGATAAACTTAGTTCCAAAGCACACTTTTCGTCAAAGGTTCGCAAGTTTATATCAATATTTGGCACTTTAAGTAAAAGCTTCACCATCTCTAAATTTCGCCTAGCAATCGCTATATGCAAAGGAGTTTCTCCTTTTATGTTTTTTATGTTTACGTTTAAATTTCTTTGCAAAATCTTGTTCACAACTTCCATTATTTCTGAGATATTGTCAGGACTATAATTACAAATGATGTGTAATGCAGTATCTGAAGGCTGTCTAAAAAAAAATATTATTTGTTTATTTTATTAACTATATTTTATATTTTTTTTACTTTGATGGAAGGTCTAGAAGACAGTTTTGGTCCAACAGAAAGTTAGCAGAAAAAGCATCACCATTTTTTAAAGCAGATTTCAGGAGCGTACATCCCTGTTATAAAAAAAATTAGAAAATTAAACCTATTTATTTATTCATACCTCTATATTAACAGCATTTATGTTAGCCATTCCGTTTTCTACTAGAGTCCTCGCAATTTGGGTATTTTTGGAAGACAAGGCCATTTGAAGAGGCAATAGACCATTTTCAGAAAATGTATTTACCAGCTAAAAAAATTAACAAGAAAAATACAACGTATTATTTAAAAAAAAATAATTAAATAAATTAAATGATGCAAATGTATGTATATACCCGTTGCTCGTAGAGCAAAAACGAGTATACCAGATTCATTTAAATGTATGCAACATGCAGAAGGAATCGTTTCCGATCATATAAAGTATATATATTCTTGATCAGGATCAATAGCCGAGTCGAACTGGAGATGTTCGTCTGCCCGTATTAACGCTTCGATCTCAGGAACTACAAAAGCTAGAATATTGAGCTTGCCGCTCCCAGAAACATAGCCGCAGCGCAAGTTTGTTTTCAAATGTTGCCACACCCACTCTAACGCCCACAAACCGCAAAAAAACTGTCACGCCCACACTTAAAAAATGTTTTGATTTTTTTCATTTTTTTTATTAGTATTGTAATTTTCTATCAATTTGCCAACAAATTTTTGGTACGCCCACTTTAACGCCCACAAACCGACTAAAACTACCTTGCGCAAACTTTTGAAAAATGTTTTGATATTTTTGTACTTTTTTATTAGTCTTGTAAATTTCTATCGATTTGCCACATAATCGTTCTGCCATGCCCACTATAACGCCCACAAACCGCCAAAAACTGTCACGCCCATACTTTTGAAAAAATTTTAAATTTTCATAATTTTATTTTTTTTTACGTAATTTCTATTTTATTTCAAGAAAATTAAAAAATTTCTCGTTCGCACTTCCAGCTGAGTAACGGGTATCTGATAGTCGGGGAACACGACTATAGTTTTTACTTTTTACGATTTTGGGAGAAATTTTAGTTTTTAGAACCTAACCCAATTTTTACAAATTAAGAATACTCTCATGCCAAAGGGGAGTTAAACAAGGCGGTTGCTGAATTGTTTTATTATTATACCCGTTACTCGTAGAAAAAAGGGGTATAAAAAAAGGGTTAAAAGTATGTAACAGGCAGAAGGAAACGTTTCCGACCATATAAAGTATATATATTCTTAATCAGGATCAATGGCTGGAGCATTTTCTTTGAACTAAAGCGCCTTCATTCCTTTCGCAAAGCTTGTCAATTGGCCGTCCCTGTTAGATGCAGTAAAGGATTTGCCAGAGCGCCGTTCTGGGGCTCTTATTGGAACTGTTTGTATTGACAATTCATCGAACATCAAATTCCTCAACTCTTTCGATAAATTGCAAAGCATATTTGCATTTGTATTTTACGAATGTGACTTGGGAGCACGTAATGCGAAGCCTGTCAGCAAATCGAGTGCAGCCTAATCCAGCATTTCATACTACAGGAGTGAACTATTTTGGACCATTCTATCATAAGGCAGAGAACAGAAACAAGGCACCCCATAAGTGCTGCATCGCCGTCTTTGTTCGCTTTTCCATGAAGGCACCTCAATTGGAAGTTGTCCAGGATCTCACGACGGATTCTTTCATCGCAGCAGATTCATCAGCTTTGGAGGCAGTCCGTGGACCATTTGGTGAAATGCGCGAGCTTGCCGCACAGGGCATCGATAGCTTCCGCATGCCCTGCACTTCGGTGGTTTAAGCGAGGCTGCTGTTAAGTCCGTTAAATTTTGCGTTTGAGATTTCTGTCATCCTTAACTCCCGTCCACTCTGTCCAATTTCAGAAAATGCTGAAAGTCTTGAGGTGCTAACGCCAGCGCATTTCCTCAAGGGTTTCAGCTACAAAAAATTTCCTGACCCTGACATTACTCATCTTCGCGAAGGTTTCATCAGCAGATGGCAAGCGGGTGACCCAGATATGTATACATACGTAGTCATACATACCTACAGTCTTATCAAGAGAGCCGTCTTTCTGCCCATCGATTCCGATATAGTTGGTACCCTTTTCAACGGGGGGAGTATGTTCACAACAGATCGCCAGCGCATGGTCATGTGCGCCTAGGTGTACCACTGTACCTACAGCGCTCTTCGAGTATCTCTTTTCTCTCGCTAAAGCTTTCACAGCTAAACTACTTTGTAAGCTTATAGGTTTATATTTTAAAGCCAAGCTTTCGCTTAGGCAGTCTGCATCTCCGAATAAAACAAATTATTAATTTGCATCTAGAAGCATCTAGAATGATCGTTATCTTCCGGTATTTTTTTACTCCAACGCAAGAAGTTGATTGAAGAATTTCGTGTGTAATTTTCTTGGTCTCAATGTAAATGTTTTGACATACAAGAAAATGGCAAACCATAATTAAGTTTATAAAATTTTCAATAGTTTTAGCGTTGCAGTTTCTGGCAGTTGTTTTTCTTTTCTTGAAAACCTCATTTCTTTGTTTAAGATATATGAAATGAATTACCATTTCACTGTTTTCAAAACAAACAAATTTATAATTATCACATAATAATAAAAAAAGTTGTGTTAGTACACAATAAATAACAAGAAAAACTAACTCAAAAATTCAAGGAGAAAATTCCGTAATTCCGTAATCAATCATTATTTAATAAAATTATTTTATTAAATAATAAAATTAATAAATTAATAATAATTAATAATTAATAAATTATTTAATTAATAGATCTGTACATGTCTGTTAATTTTAGTGCAATAAAATATATGATCACTTCAAAGGCGGAGTCGGCACAAAATTCGTCGGGTCAGCTAGTTTTGAATAGAATGCGGATGTGAAAGTTCCCAAATTTTTGGCATATCAATATTGAAAAAAAAAATCATTAAAAAAATATTTTAAATTGTGGGCGTGACAGTTTTTGGGGGTTTGTGGGCGTTAAATGGGGGTGGGGGTGGTCATAATGTTTTAGTATACCGATAGAAATTGATAAGAAAATATTAAAACTAACACAAGTGTGGTCATGGCAGTTTTCGGAGGCCTGTGCGCTTTAAAGTAGGCTTGGTAAAAACTTTTTGGCAAATCGATAGAAAATTACCAGACTAATTAAAAAAATGATAACAATTAAAAATATTTTTCAAAAGTGTGGGCTTGACAGTTACGGGCTTTTTTCGTTAGAGTGGAACGTTCTGAAACTTGCACAGCGTTGCCGTAACAGCTCACTGTGAAGTCAGAAGGCAAGGATATAACACAATGAAGCCATGGATCCCTGAGGCAAAACATCATAATGGAGGTCAATGAAGAGGTAAGACGGCTAATAGCATGCTAAGAACAGCAGTTACAGGTAGGATAAATATTCTTTGCTTTGCGCAAAGCCTCTCAGCAAGGTCGCCTACGAACTAAAAGAGCAAGCTCAGAACATTCAAGAACATTTTAGTCCACAAAAGAACCTTAAGGTGTCTATTATGAACCTAAGCAAACAAAAAGCAAAATTTTAAGATCTCCATAGATAATTTTATTCACGCAGCATGCAAAGAAGAAACACTTTGTTTCCCTAAGAAAGATATCGGTGGCGCCAGCGAATTTTAATCACTAACAATGATTCGGTACAGGTGGTCCGAATTTCGAAGAGAACGGAAGTTATTGTTATCTCCTTCACCAATATAGAATATAAAAATATCACTTTTTCCACAATTCTCGGCACAAATTTTGTCGTGGCAAACGGGAGTAACAATCCAACAACCCGTAATTTTCCTTCCTCTGAAGAATCCGAACGCTGTCACGATAAAGGAATCGCTAAGCTTCATCAACCGATCCCTTCAGACGGATTTACCTATACCTTGCAATATCAGAAGACCGCCAAGATACAATGTCAATGTGGGTGGACACCGGCTCTAAGGCACTGCAAGGCAGACACGAGAGCAACCAGAATGAAAAATGGGACATATACTGACGTTTTATTGCTTGCGAACACGCTTGAAAGAAAACTAAACGTGTTTTCTAGTGAGGATGTGGCAGGCAACCTCGTACACTTCACATGGCCGCCATGTACAACATTCCAAACCACGACTTCCGCGGAGACATGGAGGAGATAGGTACTGTGGATGAAGACCACAGTGAGAGCTACACTAAGAACTCTGCAGTTTTCACAATTTTACAACGCCTATAAATGTGCTCGTTCTTGTGGTTCACTGTTATCCAAACATTAAAGTGCCAGGAAGACCACCTGCTTCAAAAAAGACACTGTAAACGATTGTGTGGCTTCGGCATGAAATTATATTACTTACGCACACAAATGGAAATCTTAGTGGTCATTGTATTTGTGTGGCCGTTTTTTGAATATAAGAATTCGATTCCATTTTATGGTACTGTTGAAAAATTCTGAAAACCTTAACATCGTACTTACGGAGTCTCCATATTTTTGAATGCAAAGAGACACAACGTCATTCCTTAAGAGTCTTACAGCAGCATGGAGAGGATGTTTTGTTTTGGATTTAAGCATTTCAAACAATAAGGGTCCGGACATATGTTGAAAATCTTCAGTTGTAAGCTCATTCCAGTGCATTGATATTATACTGGAGCAATGTTCTAACAGTGTTGATGCACCAACTTCTTCAGCTACGCAATAAAATCTTATACAAGATCTTACACCTACTGAAGCCACTAGTGCCCGCTCACATAATCTTAAAAGCGTTGGTAAACCAAATCGATGTGCGGCTCGTAGAAGATCCAATGCTAGCCCGTCATGGTTCAAATCTATCTGATCAGTGTAAATCCAACGCAAAAGTGACGACACCACCTCCTCATTTAAATCGCTCCAGTCCAGCTCTTGTATGTTGCTTAATAAATCATTTCCCCATTTTTCAGAGCGAGCGTGAAGTACGATCTTATGTGCAGAAAATACTCTCGTTTGCGATCGGATGTATATATCAGCATAAGTATTTTTACCGAATAATGAAGCAACAGTCAACGACAGTCGTGATAAAAAACTTGTTAGTTCACGTTCTTCGTTTCCAGAGGTAGCAATATTTTCGTTGTTCTTGCGTTCTAATTCCGCATAGCTTCGCTGCACTTTTGTATATTCATCACTCGAAAAGTTATTTTCCATTTTCAGTACGGAGAACGTCTCATTACTACCTTAAAATATACATTTAAAAGAAAATATTTGCAATTAACAATCTACACAAATGCCATTAGAAAGAGTAAGCTGCATCAAGCTTTAAAATTATTATTTTTAATCTGATAACGACTTAAAATATTTAGTATGAGCGTGTCCACTCCCACACCTTTAAAAAATAGTTGGTTTTTGGTTCATATTATTTTTATTATTGCCAACAGTTTTGGTCACGCCTACTCTAACGCCAACAAACTGCAACAGTCTTGTTGTTCCCGCCCACAATTTTCAGTGTTTGTTCGCTTTAGAATGGAATCCAAGAGTTATGAAAAATGTTTTTTTAAATGTTTTAAATGCCACAATTTTCTTAAATGTTTAATTTTTGTATTTATTTTATAATTTTTTGCCAATTTCTAATGATAATTAAAATACATTTCAAAATTTCCCACCCATTAGCTGAATAACGGGTTTTTGATAGTCGGGGAATTCGACTACATTTTTCTCTCTTGTACAGAGGTGGCGTGAAAGTTTTAAAATCTGAGTGCTTTGTAAACATCTTGTATGTCTCAGTTCCCCATATCCATATCTACTGGGTAGTGTTCCTGCTGAAACTTCTTTAGGATCGTTCTTTAGCATCGTTATTATTTACAACAGATCGGATTAAAGAACAAAGATAAAACAATCATAATAATTTCGCTTAATATCACAAAAGTTTTTGATAAAATAGGTATCCACGCAGTAATTCATCCTGGAATATTGACCAAAATTATATTAACTAAATTAAGGCTTTCACGTTCAGTTAAAATGTTAAACTCCAGGTCAGTCTGTCCAAAGTAAAAGTCAAAACCGAAATATATCGGAAAGAACTTGAAACCGTATCACCCCATAAAAATACTATTCCGTAAGGCCCTAAAATATGGTGTTTCATTCATCACTGCTTATAACTCCTAGTAAGTGAACAAAATAATAACATTAAATTCAAATAACAAACCTAACCTAAAATATCAAATTTTTCAAAAGTGTGGGCGTCACAGTTTTGGGCGGTCTGTGGGCGTGACAAAAAGTTTTTTTTGGGAAATTCATAAAAATTTACAAGATATATAAAAAAAAAGAAAATATATCCATTTTTTTAAATGTGTGGGCGTGGAAGTTTTGGGCGGGTTGTGGGCGTTAGAGTTGCAACAGATTTATGACCCAACACATAAGTCGAGCATTGTGCAAACCTGGCTAGTGTGGAATTGTCCCCATGTAATGCAACCTCCAGCACAGTCGCCAGATATGAACGTTATAGAAAATTTGTGGGCACAAACGTCGCAAAACGCCAAATTTCCAATAAATCTGACCTAAAATTAGCTTTGGTAGAGGAATGGGCTAAAATCACCACAGAACTCACCCAAAAATTAAAATGGTTGTTGACAACGAGGGAGGTCACACATAATTAAAAAAAAAAAATTAATAGTTTTAAGCATAATAACATATACTAATGTTACAAACTGGTTGAAATAATCTGTTGCATTGTTTAGAGGTACATTTTCATTATTAATTCCAAAAAAAATACTACCAAAATTATTAAAAATAAAATAAGTTAGTAAATATTATCTTGATACATACAAAAACTATTTTGCGTTAAAATTTTTGTTGATAAAATTTTTAGTTCAGCTTTTGCAGACCGTTGAAGTTTCAGATAGACGCTGGTTGAATTAAGCTGTGAGCCACTGTACATACGTAGTTGACTTCAACTTAGCCAAACTTATTATCGGCTCAATGATGATTTCGAGTAGTACGTGATGATTTTGCAAGGGGGATATTATGAATATGATTCATAGAAATCCGAGGCATTCATTTCATAATTAATTTTCGTTTAAAAGCTATGGGACAGGTTAAATTCCGAATATGTACATGGGTCGTATGTAGATGCATTTGTTGTCTAGTATGAAACGCAA